GGGGGGGGGGGGGAAGGGGGAAGAGGAGGGGAGGAGGGAGGCAGCACTCAGGGAGAGAGTGCACAGCGCCGGGCCCCAGGGAGGCTGGGCAGTTGGTGTGTGAGGGGTGTGGGACCGGGGGAGGACTACTCCACCAGGAAGGGGCCCTGAGATCTGAATGACAGTCTGTTCACCAGAGTGACAATCCACAGGTAGGAAAAGAAAACTGAGGGGAAAATTCTAGAACTTAACAAGAAGACTGGGAGCTGGTTGCCAGTGGCTCACACCTATAATCCTAGCTAGACAGGAGGCTGAGATCTGAGGATTGCAGTTCAAAGCCAGCCAGGTAAGGTCCATGAGACTCTTATCTCCAATAAACCACCCCAAACTTGGAAGTGGTAGAGCCTGGACTTGAGTATAAAAGTTCACGGACAGAGCCCCAGCCCGAGTTCAAGCTGCAGGACCGGCACAAAAAAAGAGGATGGGGGAAGCTGGTTTATAATCTTCAAAGAATACAGGACTAAAATGAATGGCCTGCATTTGTACCTTAAGCAATTAGAATCAGCCCAGATGCCATAATGGAGGAATGGAAAATGTGGTATATATACACATTGGAAATGTATTCATCTTTTAAAAAGATTATACCACTCGTAAGGAAATGGAAAGGCTGGGAAAAAATTAAACTAAGTGAAGCAAGCTAGACCTAGAGAAACAAAGGTCGCGTGGTTTCCCTCATTTGTGGTAGCTAGACTGTATCTATTAATGTTTAAGTGAATACGCAAGTGGTACGTCAAGTGAAATGAATTACATGAAGCACAGGAGACCCTATGGAGAGCTCAAATGCTATAATCTTTTAGATAGACTAAGCCAAAGCCCAGTAAAATCAACACCAGGAAATAGGACTCGGGCCAAGGGGAAAGGGGAAGATGAATACAGGGGGGAAGAGCTCATTGTATCTACCATAAAATTAAGAAAAATAAGGGAAGGGGTAGGTTGAAGGGGGTAAAAATACTGAAGGGGTGACACTGATTAAGATATATTGTATAGCCGGGCGCTGATGGCTCACGCCTGTCATCCTAGCTACTCAGGGGACTGAGATCTGAGGACTGCGGTTCAAAGCCAGCCTGGGCAGAAGAGTCCATGAGACTCTTATCTCCAATAAGCCACCAGAAAACTGGAAGTGATGCTGTGGCTCAAGTGGTAGGGGGTTAGCCTTGAGCTGAAGAGCTGAGGGACAGCACCTAGGCCCAGAGTTCAAGGTCTACAACCACCACCACCACCACCACCAACAAAGATGTATTCATAAACTGCTTTGTTATATGGCACCTCCTTTGAACAAGTACTTAAAGCTAGTTCAAAAAATAAATAGCTGGTTGCCAGTGGCTCAGGCCTGTAATCCTAGCCACCTAGGAAACTGAGATCTGAGGACTGCAGTTTGAAGCCAGCCTTGGCAGGCAAGTCTGTAAGACTCTTATCTCCAAAAAATTACTCAACAAATTAAAAAAGCTAGAAATAGTGCTGTGGCTCAAGTGGTAGAGCACTAGCCTTGAACACAAAGAGGCTCAGAGACAGTGCCCAGGCTGAGTGCAAGCCCCAGGACCAGAAAAAAAAAAGTATATAAAGTGAAATGAAATATACACATGTATATATATATATAAAATAAAAAATATAATATGCAAAATATATACATACATGTAATAACATGAAAAAGGGCGATAGACTGAAGGTATGGCTCAAGAAGGACTGAAGTCCAAGTCGAGAGCCACCACAGCCAGCAAACTAAGCAAGTGGGCGGCCCTGCGTTCAGAAGCCCCACACGGAACAGAAGGGAGCCAGAAAGTAAGCGTGACCACCAGTAAAAGCACTGTGACGCCTGCCTGCAGGTTCCAGCAGGGGGGCGCAGCCACTTGTATACCTTTGACCGAAGACCGGTCCTCCTCTGTCAGGGGTGGCAACCTCTCTGACCCAGCACACAGCTTCGGGAGGGGCTCACATGGAGCTGGAGGGAGGAAGGGCCTAGCCAGCCACATCAGCCGAATCAACACTGCCGATCAACCGGGTGACGGATGGTGTGGCGGGATCGCTTTAGATCATTGGGAGGAGAGAGGAAATGGTAAGACCAAACAAGAGGCTGTTGCTGCAGGGGTGGAGAGAGAAGGTGGCTCACTGGGGATGGTAGTCACGGCAAGAGAACCAGATACACCTGAATGTTATTCTGAAGGCACAGTCAACAGGAGTTGGGAAGGTGTGATGGGGTACAGTGGGATGATGGTAACGGAGAAGATACCACAGAGCTCCCCAGGCAGACACCACCAATGACAGGAGTGACAGCAGGAACAGATTTAGAGACAAGATTGAGAACTCAGATTTGGCTGGCAGCTGGTGGCTTATGCTTGTAACGCTACTCACAAGGCTGAGACCTGAGGACTGTGGTTTGAAGTCAGCCTGGGCAGGAAAGTCCATGAGACTCTGATCTTCAATAAACTACCAGAAAAAAAAAATCTACAAGTGGAGCTGTAACTCAATGTGGTAGAGCATTAGTCCTGAGCAAAAGAAACTCAAGGACAATGCCTCGGTCCCAAGTTCAAAACCCATGGCCAGTATGTATGCACAAGTGCACATGCATGCACATGTGCGTGCACATACACACATGAATTCAGGTTTGGATGTACTTTTTTTTTTGTCAGTCATGGGGCCTGAGCTCTGGGCCTGGGTGCTGTCCCTCAGCAATTCAGCTCAAGGCTAGCATTCTACCATTTGAATCACTGAGCCACTTCTGGCTTTTTCTGCTTATGTGGTGCTGAGGAATCGAACCCAGGGCCTCAGGCATGCGAGGCAAGCACTCTACCACTGAGCCACTTTCCCAGCCCCTCCTCTGTCTTCTAAAATAGGAAAAGCCTGAAAGCAATGCTCTCATCTGCTGATTCTGCCCGAAAGTATTGATGTAAGCAACTGAAACATATGGAACTCAAATTTTAAAAAGCCTCTGGAAAGTTCTTGTAAAGGCAAATCTTCAGAGTGATGCTTATACAAATCAGAAAGCTTTAATTATTTACTTGCCCCATCGTTGGTTTTAAGCCTTCACCTTAATTTACAGATGATTGTGGAAGAAGAAATAAAATAGTTCACAATTTGAAAAAAAAATTAATATGGAAAAGCAGCAGGAAAAAAGCCAAACCAAAACCAAACCCAAAGCTAGTGACCTCCAAACTGGTTCTCTGAAAAAGTCTCCTTCAATGAGGCTGTCATGAACAAGAGCCAAGCACATGGCCAAGGACATCACTACAGACCCTGCGGATGGGGAAGGCCACACAGAATAATGCCCCTGAAGATGCTACACCTAGATGCAGCTCAGACACTACTATGAGCCTCTAGATGCAGCTCAGACACTACTATGAGCCTCTAGATGAGCGATGTCTGTTGGAACTCCATTTTATTCATGAACTTTTAAAGCCATGGTGTGCAGCCTTTAATGTGCCGAGAGCTTGTTGAAAGCAGAGGCGCCAGGGCCCCGGGGACACCGGTGGGAACACATACCTTGTAGGCAATGCTGTTGAGCACCTTCATGGCCACATCAGAAACATCTGGATAGGGATCAGCCGCCAGATGCAATAGGACTCTCCAAATCTGAGTGTAGACACTATTGAAAGAAACACCTAAGAAAGAGAAACATTTTAGTAGCACAGGTTGGCAGCTTCTGAGTAGCTTTATTTTGTGACATCTAACATCAGCATCAGCAGGGGTGCACAACTGATCTGATCTCAGCATCTGGAGGGGTGCACTATGATCTCAGCAGCAGGCAGGGTGTGCTAATGAGCTGGGGACGAGGAGGGGTGTGTTAATAAGCTGGGGCTGCACAAGAAGCTCCCCAGCTCATTACCCTGTAATAGGCCAGGAGCAGACAGCCTTGGTTTTACAGGTCTCATCGTCTGAGGCTAGATATTTCTAACAAGAGAACTGACTAGAAAAGGTTAGGATTTGCATTTGGTACGCAGTAGCTGGCTGAAGAGCACCACTTGGTCCTGGGTGTAGCATTTGACCCTATGTTCCAGAATTCTCGGAACAGCTGGGCATGGTGGAGCACACCTAGCACCTCCGCAATCAGGAGGCTGAGGCAGAAGACGCCAGACTGATGGGCCAGAGTAGTAGCTATCTATCTATCTATTTCTATCTAGTTATATCCATACTCTATCCCAAACAATAACAAGGTTCCCAGGGGCCACCCTCACCCCCACTGCATGCCAGGTGTGTGGGGTACAGGGCTCTGTCACAGCCCTTGTGCACTCAGCATGTGCCCTGAGCCTGAGCCTTCCTGGGCTCCTCTGGTCCCCACACTGGCACTGTTCTGAGCTCCTAGGAAAGCATGCAAGTGGCACATGACAGGCCCTCTGCCCCCGAGTCTCCCCACTTGTCCACAGCCCTCAGTGCAAGGCTCAGGGCTGCACAGGGCACGCAAACAGGTGGGGCAGGTCTGCCAGGGGCTCAGCTGACTGCAGAAATCCTAGTGAGGATCCTGATGGCTCAAAGGCGGGAGTTGCCTCTGGCAGAGCAGAGGAGGCTGGAGGCCGGAGAGCACTGCTGCCCGCTGTTTCCAGGACAGAGCCTGGTTTTGAAGGGGAGGCAAAGAAGGAGTGCTGAGAAGGCTTGGAGAACGCATGAAGCCTAAACACACAGAGCCTTTGGAGCGGCACAACTGGACCCAGATATCCAATCGCACGCAGCCTGCACACTCAGCATCAGGGGTCCTGCCTGGGAGCTGCTGGAGCCAGAGGCTGTGGTGCTGGGCATACCATGCTGGATGGGGGAGGCAAAGAAGGAACGAGGAGCCTCTGAAGAGGCTGCTCAGAGGGCAAGGCCGGTGTGGGTGAGTGAATGCTCAGTGCCACCTGTGTTCCATCCAAGCCGGGCCAGGAGAGCCAGTGTCACAGGGGGAGTCCTAAGAAAAGCACCTCTGGGGGTGATGGCTCCAGCGGTGGTGACTCCAAGTCCTATAAATGGTGCTTGTATGGTGCATTCCGGTGCGGGGGCCCTGCGCTGTCCCATGCACACAGCCCCGCTCTCAGGAGCCAGGGGGCACGTGGGTCAGGAGACCAGGCTCGGGGCCGACCTCCACTTCAGTGACGTGAGATGCCCTGCCAAGCCCTCCAGCCTGATTGGCAGTGCAGCTGCCCAATAAAATCCCTGTCTGTCTATCCATTGTTCTCCTGTGCTGCCGCAACTCAGCCACAGAACAGAAGCCTCGAACGCAACCCCAGACTGATGAACAAAGTCTGAGGAAACTGTGGTGGAAGCAACCCAGGTCTCAGGGGCAAACTCCCCTCCAGGCTCCTTTCCTGCTCCAGTAGATGCCCACGTATGGGGGCCGGGGGGGGGAGGGGGGAGCAGCAGCCGTATCTTCAAGAGGATGGGGGCAGGCAGGGGGAGCGGCCGGAGAAGGAAGCGGGGTGCGTTCTGCCTCACTTAAAAAGAAATGAAGCAGCCCCTGGGACGGAGCTGGGAACGCCCTCCACCAACAGCCAGCGCTCCAACAATGAGCGCCTCAGACCCCTCCTGCCTCTCACGTTTCCAGGCTGGCAGCGTCCTCGGCCCAGTGACGCATGGGAGCGGCTTCCTGCGAGGCGCGCCAGCCGGGTGCACGGAGCTGTGAAGGTGTGATGCCACCGGGAAAGCGGCTTGACTCAGCTGGCAGACCCTGTCACACAGCACAGGGGGCGAGGGACAGGAAGGAGGCATGCCCGCGAGGGAAGGAGGGCAGGAGCAGCGTGAGGAATGAGTCTAGACTCTCACACGCAGATGCCAAGCGCCCCTAAACCCGACGGGGGCGGGGGCCGGGCCGGGGTGGGGGTGGAGGGCCCCAGCTCTGCCCTATTGAAGCTGTGCAAACGGAGGCGTCTTGCATTAGGTGGGGGTGACAGATGCCGAGGCTGAGGGGCAGGTGGCCGGGGTCAGGGTCTCCGGAGAACCCTCCAGAAGGCCTGGCGCAGAGGGTGATGTGGATAGCTATCATCGCCAGCTCTGGGGAATTTACAGCATGGTGCTGCCTTTCTTGTAATTGACTTTTATGTCACTACCGTCTCTGACTTCAACAGACAGCATTACTCATTGGCAAAACCAAAACTGATAATGAGTTACACCTTTATTTCACTTCTTTTTGGGGTTTGGCCACTGTAGGGTTTCTATCACATGGTTGTCTCTCTCTTTTTTTTTTTTTTTTTGCCAGTCCTGGGGCTTGAACTCAAGGCCTGGGCGCTGTCTCTGAGCTTCTTTTGCTCATGGCTAGTACTCTACCACTTGAGCCACAGCACCATTTTCAGCCTTTTCTGTGTATGTGAAGCTTCATGCCTGCTACGCAAGCACTCTACTACTGAGCCACATTCCCAGTCCCGCTGTCTTGCTTTTAAGTCTGCCTTCTCTAAAACGGAACTTCCCCCTCCTCCCAAAGTCAGTGGTCACAGGGCTGAGTAAGGACACAGGTCCTGTCCTGGGGGCGGCGGGGCTGGGAGGGCTGGAACTGCGGGCTGAAGAGCTGCCAGCTACTCGCAGAGCTCTGACTACGGAAGGCTGATTTTCGTGTCTAGACTGGAAGTAATAAAAGACCATAACAAACGTTCTGGGATTGATTTTTTCCGAGCAGCGGCCACCGCTTTCTGAACAGCATATGATGGAGGGAAATTGCTTAGGGCTGTGGCCAAGTCTAAACTCTGGAGCCCCAGCGGGCCCAGGAACCTCACTGGAGGTGAGAGCCGTGGTCCTCAGCCTCCAGGGGTGGGCAGAGTGGGGTCATGCCTTCCCATTGGGTGTGGGTGGCCGAGAACCTTTGAGCTTCCCTTGGAAACAATTCCTAAGGCTCAGGATTTCTGTCTGTCCCTATGTTGAGACCCCTTCCTGCCCTGGTGACTGGGTGACATTCACCTCTCCAGGGCTGAACCAGGGCTCAGAGGGGTTTTAGGGAAACCACCACAACCTGCTCCACCCGCCCGCTTCCTGGGCCCTGCAGCGCTATGGTCGCCCGCAGCTCCCCGCAAGCGCGGCGCCCTCAGTCCCAGGGCCACTCCCGTGGGGGTGAAGGCCGGGTGGGAGCCTGGGCCGTTCGAGGCCAGCGGCTTTCTGGCGGGGCCCGGGCGCCCGTGGCACGCCGTCCTTCTCACGGGGCTTCCCAGGGGCTGGCCGTCACGTGACATTGCCCACCCATCTGCTCATCCTCTCACTGCCCTTTTCTGGCAGAAGCGGGGAGAGGGGGCTCCCCTGGCCGCCTCCTGGCCAGCGTTAACAGTGGGCCTGCGCTCCTTTCAGCCAAGGCCCTGTGATCGCAGGAGCCACAGCTGCAGGGCCTCAGGGCTGCGCCCTGCGACAGGGTGCAAAGTTTGACTCTTGGGAAGGGTCGGAGGTTCCCCTGGACTGGCAGGGAGCGGTGGGTGCTGCAGGGCAGGGTTCGGCTAGCTCCCCGCTGCTGCTGGCCTTTGGCGCCCTCCTGCCCCGGCAGCAGCTCTACCTGGGACTGGTTGCCATGGAGACGGGTTTTCAAAATGCTGTCACTGGTAGAGCTGTGAAAACGCCGGTCCTGGCTCTGAGGCTCAGGACCTTCAGAACAAGATTTCCATGCTGAGCCACAGGCTGGAGGCTGCCACACCTCTCTGTGAGGTCCCCAAACAGAAGCAGTCTCGCATGCCTGTCTCTGACAGAAACAGAGTGACAGGCCTGGAGCAGAGCCTTGGCGGATGGAGCTCAATGGAGTGGCACTGCATGCACGCTGGGCACACTGCCAGGGCAGCAGGAGGGGGCAGCGCGGTGGGCTCTGGACACAGGCCGGCAGACCCTCCCTGCGCACTGTCCACCCTGAGCACGGGGAATGTGAGGAGGAGGGATGGGGCGAGGCGGAAGGGCAGGCAGGGCTGCTCACCGCACACCTCAGCAGGAACCACTTCACAGTGGAGATGTGGCGGAGACACTGCCCAAGAAGAACCCCTTGCTATGAGCTGTGTGGATGGCAGGGGCTTGGGTCTCACACACAGGGCTGGAAACCACCCTGGGGTGCTGTGGAGATGCCTGCTGAGTCCTGCTGAGAGGCGGAAGTCAGCACTAGGCTGGACTGTTCAGGAGAGCCAGATGCTCTCCAGCAAGTGGCCGAGTGTGAGCTGAGATACTGCCCGAGCCCTAAAATGGGGAAGGACTCATTTCGGGTTACACTTGGCTGTCAGATCTCAGATGTGGGAGGTCTGGAGGCCTGGGATCCAATTCGGATACACCGCCCTGCCGTGGCCTGGCTCCTGTGTGCACGTGACTGCAGGAGGGCGGCAGGGCACACGCGTGACCCTGGTGGGGAGGCAGGGCGGAGGCAGGGCCGGGGTTTCTGGAAGGAGTGGTCTGGGGAACAGATACCAAAATGCCCATATACTAGGTTGCCATGTCTGTGCAAGCTTCTTCTGCAATATGCAAGAGGCTGAAGAGACTGCTGCTCTTTGGTTGAAATGAAAAAGAAACTAGCTGTCAGTGGGCAAGGGACCCTGTGCACCACGTGAACACACGCTCACGTGAGCAGAGTGGCTGTGTGGACACGGCAGCCGCAGCCGGGTGAGCGTGCCACCCTGCTAACTAGGCACGGGGCTGATGTTGGAGCAACGTCGCATTGTGGTCTTACTTTTCTTTCCAAAAACTTAATCTAAAAGTATTTCCCTTCTAGTTTTGAAGGATCTGAAGGACCCAGAGGGAGCTGAGCGTCAGCGTGAGAGCGGGGGGTCAGGATGTGGGTCCCGCTCCCTGGACACACAGGCAAACTTGTGTTCTCTCCTGTGTGCAGACAAAACATGACTCCATTCTCACACCACCAAGGCCAGCGAGGCCTCCGTCAGGAGACGAGTGAGCGGGCCGGGCCGGACTTCTAAACCCCTGACCGGAAGCGTCCGTTGCGCAAGCGAGCACCGTGCTGACTGCGCAGGGGAAGCGGCCTGGGCCTTCGGCAGCCCGGCAGCTCCGCAGGCTCACCCATCAGCTCAGGCCCCGCGGGGCACGTCCTCACGGGTCCTGGGCTGACAGGTGGCTTCGGGAAGTCTCAGCTCAAGTTCTACCACCAGGGAGAACTACCATCAGTGCGCCTGTGACCTCACTGACAAAAGGCACGTGGGAGGGTTAAGAACAACCCGGATAATTGTGAAGAAAAAACTAGCTGGGGACGAAGCTCCGCAACCATCCCCGTGGGTGGGGAGCCGTGTGTGGGACGGGCCCACGCAGGCCTGGGGGAGGCTGCAGCGGGCCGAGGCACTGCCAGCCCAGGAGGAGGGGCAGAAGACGGAAAGCAGCCAGGACCCCGGGAGCAGCGACGGGAAGAGCAGAGCGAGCCCCGCCTTGCCACAGAGACAACGCTTGACGTGAGCTTTTTGTTTTGTTTTTTGACAGTCCTGGGGTTTGAATTCAGGGTTTTATTGCTTGTCATGAAGGTGCTGTGCTGCAAAGCCATGCCTCCAGCCTGTCTCATACTGGTTATTGTACACATAGGGTCTTCCCGCCCAGCTGTGCACCCCTGGGACAGGGCCCTCTAATTTTGTTAGGCTTTCTGTCACAGCCAGGCCCCATGGACTTGGCTGCCTGGGTTGGCCCTGAGCCGGGATCCTCCAGATCTCACCCAGGGGGCTTTCGGGAGCAAGCCTCTGCCCTATGAGGAGGTGCTCAAGCCGCTGACGCTGCGCGCTGGTGAGCATGGCACTGCTGGGCATGGGACGGGACCCCGCCCACCGCTCTCCTCAGCCCACACCGGCAGGATCCCTGGGGCTACGCATTTCCCATAGGAACCAGGGCCCAGCCCAGGGAGCTTCTCTCCCCACAGAGGGCAGGCGGTGGCAGCCGGCAGCCTTCCTGCACCACACGGGTGACCAGCTCCCGCACCCCGACAGCGCGTGATACTCCACAGTCCGATGCGGCCTCAGCTCCCGAGACCCGTGCAGCACTTCTCCCACTCCTTCACTTCCGCCTCATTTCTACCTTTCCTTGTCCAGCTGGGGTAGTTTGGGGCCGTCTACCTGACGCAGAAGGCCGTGGGGCCCGGGGAGGGGCCGGGACTTACCTATGAGGGAGTTGAGGGCCGAGTAGGAGCTGACGCGGCGCATCTTGTCGATGATCTCGAAGGACAGGATGTACTCCTCGTTCTCAGGGCTGCCCAGAGTGCTGCTGGTGCTGCTGCTGGTGCTCAGGTTCCCCGGGGAAAACGCCACGGAGCTGCCCGCTGGCCAGAGCCCAGACAAAGCAGGTCAGGACGGGTGGCACCCAGCACCACCCTCCTGTGGTCTCAGTTAATGAACAGCCTGAGTGAAACATGAGCTTCCTCTGAAAGCAAAGCTCACCACACAAATGCATATATATGCTGACACTACATACACACTCAGACACGTGCATGTGCACGTGTGAAGTGCACACACCAACAAGTATGTGCACCCTGGCTGAATGTGTGCACACACCAGACACCTATACAGATATCCACGTGCACGTGTGCACTCACTGGTGCAATCCCCGTCCCCCATCTCTGGGAAGTGGGGGATGGCAGCCCTCGGGGTCCCCGAGGTGTCTCTTGGCAGGTCGTGGCCACCTCCCGCTGTCCCGGGCACTGACCTGTCCCTTGCCTCACTCTAGGGCAGAAGGAAGCTTGGGCCACGCTCACGGCAGACAAAGGGACGGGCAGAGGGTGGGGATTGAGATGCAAGTCCCCCAGGGGGTCACCCCAAGTCCTCCCAACCCCGGGTCTCACATTCTTCCGTCAAGCTGAGATTCTGCAAGGATTTGTTCAGGCTCCTGGCTGTGGTGACGGCTCGGATGTTCCCATAGGAGCTCACAGAGCGAAGTCTGGGGGTGCACGGGCTGTCTCGCACTGGGGTCAAGCTCCCACCCTCTAGGAAAGCAGGGAAGGCAGAGAGTTAGGCTGGGAGGTGGCTGGGAGGGCTGAGTTCACAGCAGGGGAGTGGTAGAGCACACAGTGGGCATCGGACACTCAGTGTGGGCCCTGGCCGGACAGAGGAGCAATCAACAGCTGCTCTGAGTGTGACCCATGCACAGGACGTATGCCCAGGAGCTCGCCGCCGCTGCCGTGTCCCAGAGAGGGCCTGGGCCCTGGGCTGCCTGCGGGGGCAGGGAAATGCCCAGCACAGAAGGACTGGGCCGCACACCCCCTCCTTTCACTCCTGCCACTGCCTTTGCGATGGATCACGAGCCTTCTTTCCTGTGAAGGGGGGAGGGGCCCACGGTGAGGAGATGTGCGTGGAAAAGAAGACTCTTCCCCAGAGAAAAGGATGACTGTGAGGGGGGGGAGGCGCTTCCGCTTCCGGACGTGTGAGGGAGGCGCTTCCGCTTCCCAACGTGGCTCACAGCGCCTGATCACAACAGGGTGCCACCACTCATCTCGGGAAGATGGCTATGTTCTTTTCAAGCCCCTCTCAGAGCAGTAGCCATGCTTCAACATTTCCACAAATCTGATTTCTAAAAACGGTGAAGGGAAAGAGCAGGGGGGTGGGCATGGCCCTCTTCCTGCCCCTTGCATTCTGCTAAAGTCCTGGGGGAAAAAAAGGGACATGAGGGAGACCCCAAAAGCTCAGACGTGGCCCAGCTGACTGGCGGCTGAGGGTGCTGGTGAAGGAGGGGCGTGGCCGGGTGCGCAGGAGCTGCTGTACCTGTGGCCGCCGGGGAAGGCAGGGGGTAGTTCTTTTCCTCTTCCATGAACTGCAGGGCCACAGTGCAGAAGTTGCTCTCGTACTGAACAACTAGGTGGCTCAGAGCCACCACCAGCTCCTGTGGAGGGGGAGAAGGGGCGCTTAGTCTCGCTGTCCCTGGCTGGAAACCACCTGGACAGCAGACCTGCTGATGCCTAAGCTGTCAGCAGGCAGAGGCAGGTCAGAGCAAGCCTCCCGCAGGCATCTGGACCCAGAGCAGAGGCCTCTGGGGAAGCAGGGTGTGCCTGGGTGGCAGGCGGAGGCTCCTGGAGGGCCTGCCTAGCATGACCTGTGCACCTGCTCTGTGCACCTGCCCTGCAATGACACAATGAAGCCACGGTAAGAATCACACATCTTGGCTTTTCCTTTATGATCTGTTCTGTGGCCTTGGCCAAAATTGCCTATCTCCATTGAACTGGCAGCCTGGAGGCCAGACGGGGCAGGACACACCTGACAAGCCGGCACTGCTCTCCAGCAACTACAAATCTTCTGCAGCTCTACCAGCCCCCAGCCTCTGAGAGGGGAGGAAGAAGAAAGATCTCCAGCCCCAAAGGCTGCTAGCACGACTTACATCTCCTTCAGCATGCTCTGTGCAATGGTGTGCGTGCTCAGAGATCCGACCAGTCCCAGGGAAGCAGAGAAGAACACGGAGGTTTATAAGAAACAAATGCTTTCCACCATGTTATTAAAACCATAGACAACTTTATCTGCGTTTTATTCACTTAAGATATTTAGGCGAGAGAGAGTCCTGTGCTTGCTGCGAGAAGCCCCGGCCCTACAAGCCAGAGGCCTCGACTGAGGTGCTACGGTACCCAGGAGCAGGCCCGGCGGGCTCTCCCTTCTCATCCTGCCAACTCACAGCTGCCTTTCCCAGTGCTGGCTCTGCCCGGCAGGTCTGAGGGCTGCAGCCAGAGCTCTGGCCTGGCCTCCCTCTCTTCCCACCCTGCTGTGGGTGCCCAGAGTGGGGTGGCGGCATCTCTTCACAGCCAGCGCCCTTCTCCACTGGGGGCGTCCAGCCCGTGGGCCATGGGAAGGCCGGGACACACACACATGCTGTCCACTGTCCACGGCCTGTCTGCCTGCACTGGTAATTTTATATGACCTGCAAATGATGTTATAAATATCTACACAGCCTCTGGCAGAAGGTAAGTTCCCCCTACTGTCCTGCTCTGCTCTGCCTGTGCCAGGAAATCAAATGCTCCCCAGGGAGAGCCTCCGGTGAGCCGGCCGGCCCCTCCCACGGCGCGAGACCACGCTCACAAGGCACGCCCTGCGCACACGGGCCGTCACTTCCCGGATGCCCCTGCCCAGGCGCTCTCCTCTGCCACGGCCCCTGCCCTGGCTTTGAGTTTGCTGGACCCTCAGCCAGGAGAGGCCCCCGTCCCCAGCGGTGCCCCCCAGGCTCTGTCACTCAGTCCTCCATCCAACTCTACTCAGTCCCCTCCACACGCCCACCCCTCCTGCTCTCTCTTCTGCAATGCACCTCCGGGGAACCGCTTGCTCTCTGAGATGCAGGGCCTCAGACCCGCTGGGCAGACGCTCTGTCACTGAGCAACACCCACCCCAGCCTTCAGGAGAATTTCCCGAGAAGAGCAGGTTTGGGTCACGGACCATCAAGCCTCAAATGAGGCCTGGCCCACAGTATTTTCCTTAATAGTGCCAAATGCGCTGAGCTTTGTCCTTCAGACCCATGGTGATCCGGGGGAGACCAGAGTCCGTGCTCCTCCCAGACTACTGCGGCAGGCGGACCACTGCCTTGTGATAAGGCAGAGCCCAACGCAGGGACCAGCTCCCACACCACAGGGACCAGCTCCCACACCACAGGGACCAGCTCCCACACCAAGTCCTCTCCTCACACGGCTGCCCCCCGGGCCAGGCCACTCTGTGGTCCAGCATGTGCTACCTCAGGTTCTGTTTTTTTTGGCTGGTCATGGGGCTGAACTCTGGGCCTGGGCGCTGTCCCTCAGCTCTTCAGCTCAAGGCTAGCGCTCTACCACTTGAGCCACAGCGCCACTTCCGGCTTTTTCCGCTTATGTGGTGCTGAGGAATTGAACCCAGAGCCTCATGCATGCAAGGCAAGTGCTCTACCACTGAGCCACCTTCCCAGCCCTGCCTCAGGTTCTTTCTGTACGCTGAGTGTGGTGGCCCAGAGCGATACCCCTGCCACTTGGACAGTACGGAGCGGTAAGGATCTCTGTTCAAGGGCAGCACAGGTGGTGAGTAAGAGAGACTCCCGTCCAACAAACAAGGGGATGTGGTGGTTTATGCCTGTAATCCCAGCCGTGTGGGAAGCTTGTCCTGTGGTCCAAGGTATGAGTGTGACCTGGGCAGAAATGTGCTGCTCTATCAGAAAAATAACTGAAGCCAAAAAGGGCTGGGGGTGTGACTCAAATGGCAGAATGACTGCTCAGCAAAGCAAGTTCAAACCCCAGTACTGCTAAAATCCAAAAGATCTAGTTTGTTGACGATGGCCAAACATGAGAAACCTGGACAAAGTGTCTGCAGAGGATCAAAGGCCAACAACGTGTGAGCTCCAAACCAAGGTCCCGAGGGAGAGAGGAGTCCACACTGGCTGCCAGCCTGGCCCCGTCGGTGCCAGAAGGTGGCTGTCTGTGCACGTAGACTGTGCCACATGGACAGGCTCAAGTTCAAAGCAGGGCGGAGGCGGCTCTGAGACGGACGGGCGCTTCCCTGGGAGGCCCGGTGCCCGGGCACAGGTGCCGCAGTGCCCCTGCTTCTCCCTCACCCGTGGGCCGCTGAGCTGCACTGCTGCCACGCTCCCAGCCCCGGAGCGGGTGCACCGTGGGCCTGGTGTGGGAGACGCAGCCAGCTCCGTGCTCCGGGCCGCATCCGGGCCACTGTGTGGAGCCGGGTTTCCTGTCCTCGCTGGGGGCTCCCTGTGCTGGGCGGCTCTTAAAGGGAGAGCAAGCTGCGACGACAGAGTCAGTGCAGGGAACGGAGGCCTGCACCCTGGAGTCAGTGCTCCCTGACACACCAGGACTCTTCCTCCTGTAACTTACTGTCCCTCCTCCAAGCACACCTTGTCAGTGCATTTCCCGGACCTGCAACTGGCTGTTCATTTCCCGTGAGGACACCAGCCCGGCCAGGGAAGATGCACTGCAAGTGGCTGACACGGACCTGACACAAGGCCCACTCCTGACAACAACTGCTGCTGAGACAGATCTGTGAGAACCAAAGGACTTCACGGAAGGCCCGGTCTCGACACAGGGACCTGGGCACTGGGCGCTGCGCTGCCAGCCCAGGCTGCGTGGCCTGACTGCTGGCAGTCTGGCTGTACAGGCTGATGGGGGTTCCTGGAGCCATCAGGACCCTGCCTGTCCCTGGCCCTTGGTGCACAGCTCCTGCCCTGTACATCCCCAACCTTGCTGGCCACCCCACCACCAAGGGGAGAGAGGCAGCACGGGACGCCGGAGCACTCTGGGCCTGCTGGAGGCGGCTTGTGTTTACAAGTGCCGCCACTGTAATTATTGGTTTGACTCTCAACCAAACTATGTTCTTGGAAGGCGGTCACTGTCAGCCCTGTATTCTGGAGCCCAGGACAAGCAGGTTGCGTGGAACCAGCCTAACACAGGGTGTGAACTGTGGGAGACAATCCACTGCATTTCTGCATTAGACAGACAATGAAGAGCTTTCATACAGACGCAGGCATTTGCGGGCTGGGAGAGGGGTGGATGCTGCAGAACCCTGCCATCTGCAGGTGGTCCCCCGCTCTTCCAGCATGAGCTGTGCATGCGTTCAAGGCAGGAAGGAACTTGCCATACACACACAGAGAATCAGGCATTTGAAGAGACAAGCTGGGCTGATGGCGGGTGGGGGGGGGGGAGGTGAATGCTGGCTCAGCCCCAGGCCGCGGGGCCGGGTGCGGTGTGGCCCCACATACCTTTCGGACCATGGGGCTCCCATCGTTGATCAGCTGCGCCAGCATCATGGCCACATTGTGGTCGATGGTGGTGGAGTGGTCTGTCCTCTCGGCAGAGTTGCCCACGAAGGTGCCAAGGGCAAAGACAGCTGCACAGCGGACCTGTAAGGGAGGGACGAGGGGTCACAGCCACACTCGTGCATGGGCTTGCCGCCGCCGGCCAGCAAGTTAATCCAATTTAGGGAAGCTCAGCTCAATTCAATTTCACAAGTACTTATTGAATAGAGCTCTGCTGGCACACTGCTGTCGATGGAACAGGGGTGGGAGGCCCAGGGAGCCAAGCCAAGCACCGTGGCCCAGCCAGGGGCGGAGGACCAGGCAGCGGAGGCAGCAAGTGTGCGTCTTCTGGAATCAAGAGGCCAGCCAGGCACCATGGACTTGGACATTCATGGCTGAGGGACGCAGGAATGTTGGGGAGGGGGCTGTGGCCAGGGATGCCCTGTAGAAGCAGCCTAGGCCTGGCCCTGGAGGAGAGGACGTGGCAAGTGAGGAAGGCCCGGGCGCTGGCGGAGCCTCGGGGGGCTGAGGGACAGTGGGGAGCGTGGCACGCACTGCTGTGTCATCTCCAAGGCCATGGAGCCTGTTTCCTAAAGACTTCACAATGGATGCTCCCAGTGCTGGCGTGTGGTCACGGGGTGGGGTTGAGATGGGAAGGTCTAGTGCCTCTCAGCCCCAAGCCAGGAGCCACTGCTCAGCAGACAGACGCTCACAAAAGGCCCACGGCCCTGACTTCTCCAAACATGCACGTGGGGGAGGGGCAGGCGGGAAACACACGCCCCTGGGGCGCAGGGGCAGCTGCTCTGAGCCTGTGCCCCACGGTTCTGCTTGGTCCGCACCTACATTACACAGGGGGCGCGCGGACTAGTGACCGAGAGACCAGGAGTCGGTTGTCACTGAGGAAAAGGTCCAGCAGCACCAAGAACAAGCGGGGTATGCAAGCCAACCATCTTCCTAACAGATTTGGACCAAACACCGTGGGAGTCAAGGGGGAGTAACCAAGCCGAGAGCGTCTCCTGGAAGCCTCGGAGCGGGCCGCGACAGCGCGGCAGCGGCCGGTCAGGGCTCTGGCGTCCTGTGGTCTCTAGCGAGGCCCTCCGCAGACCTGCCCAGAGGGGAGCTCCTCCGGAAGGGCAGTGCCGTCTCTGGTCGACGGGGGAGGCGGGATCTGGGCCTGGCGGGGGCACGGGTCCCTGTCACGGAGGAGGCCTGGCCTGGCCTGACTGGGCAGACGTCCCATTGTGAACCACCTGCCAACGCACAGGCTGGCTCCTCACGTCCTCAGGTTTCTAAGGAACATTCTGCTTCTTTGGGGAACCCAGGGAGGTGAGCATGACTCTTGTGGTGCTGTCCAAGGCCATATGGGTGTCCCAGACCAGGACCGCGGGGTCCAGAGCCGTTCCCAGAGCCAGCGCTGGCGTCCTGGGGACACAGGCGCAACGTGCTCAAGGAGCAGCCCCCCTCCACCACTTCCTCGGGTGCACCCCCACAGAAGAGGAGCCCAGCCCAGCTCCTGCCCGTGCTGTTCCAGGCAAAAACTCTGATGACGCTGGCCAGCTGGGCTGAGCCCGCCATGTTTCCAGAGCTTTCCACTCAGCGCCTGTGTCACAGCCGCCTTTCCTTCTTCACGCTCCATGTGGCATGTTAGCACCATCCTGGTGTTTGCAGCTCTGGTTTGCGCCCCTGTGCCCGCCGTAGGGAGGCCCGGGAGGCGGCCTGCGGGTCCTGGCTCCAGCGCTGGGAAGCCCGAGCCCCGCCTAGGGCTGCTGGGCCTCGGGCCAGGAAGAGCTGCGCCTCCTCCTGCCGTCCCCCTGGTTACCTCAGGGGCGCTGGTAAGGGACCAGAAGACCCCCCCTCCCCCCGCTGCTTCTGCTGGCTGCAAGGCCACTGAGAACAATGTGGTCATCTCTGCGGGCGGGCACAGGCCCGGGAGGACACAGCCAATGTCCCCCCCCCCCAGCGTGTCTAGCTGCTCTTCCAACTGCTCTGAGCTTCTGTTCCATGCTTTACACCGTGCTGAGAACAGCTCATGAGTAATGACATCTCCCGGCTCTTTCCTTTAGGACGGGACCCACGGCGACAGTCCGGTCCCCAAGGAGCAGCAGCGACTGGCCAGAAGCGCCGCGGGCCCTGGGCAGTGGGTTTATGGCAGGCCCCAGAGCCGACTCTTAAGACGGCGGGGTGACGGCAGGTGACAGTGGCTGGCACTTAAGACAGCGGGGTGACGGCAGGTGCCAGGGTCCCTCACCCCTCTGCCAGCTGGCAGGTGTGGCAGACAGGGGCAGCCCCCAGCACTTTCTCCAGCCACCCCAGCATGAGGCCTGGGCCCCAGGCCCTCTCCTTTTCTGTAGTACAGAGAGGCCCGGCCCCAGCCCACGGGACCTGGCTGTACTGCTCGCTTCACGCACATGCAACCCTTCCACAGATACTACCCGCCGGGGAGGGACCTCGCCGGGCAGCTCACCTCGGGGATGGGGTCGGACAGGAGGCTGCAGAGCTTCTCGTGGGCGCTGTCCCGCACCCCACACCACCTCGCGGAGTCGAAGTTCTGCCAGATCCTCCCCAGGCAGATGGCCACCCACTGGCGGAGCAGGGGGTGTGGGTCGCTGAGCTGCTCCAGGCAGATGGCGATCAGGTTCCCCTGCAGGCAGGCCTCCTGTGGGGGGGACGCAGGCAGTGGGACCGTGGTCCAGGCCCAGCCCAGCCGTGTTACAAGATCCTATTTTCCTATACTTAACATCTTGCTGATTAAAATTTACAAGCATGAGCTAAAAGCGGGGCCCACACCTTGCTGGGTGCACCCCTCTTCTCCTGTGCTGGGGGCTGGGCTCCCTGGTGGCCCCGCCTCCCGAGGCAGGCAGACCGGCTGCAGACCGCCAAGCAGCCCCTGCGGACACGGCGGCTGGTCTACGTCCCCCTTCTCCATGCGTCTACACCCCTCCTTGCCAGGGCAGGGGCTGGAGGCAACACTCACTTGCCCGGTGGTGTAGCTGTTGACAATCACAGCAAGAATGAAAGCCGTCATGGTCCGATGTTCAGCCTGGAAAACAAGTCACCGTGGTTATGCACCCACAATGAAGACCTGTCACCCGCCCCCCCAAACATGACACTGCCCTCAAAATGCTCATGGTAAGAGGGATACAGACTTAAGTAATGTCTGCCAGCCTTCCAGCTGTCTTTGATTCCACACACAGCAGCATTTTTATAGGCTCAGGAGGCTGAGATTTAAGGATTGTGGTTCCAAACCAGGCCAGGTAAGAAAATCTAAGATTCTTATCTCCAATGAACCAACGGAAAAAGCAGCAGTAGAGCTGTGGCTCCAAGTGATAGAGAGCTAGCCTTCAGCAAAAAAGCTCAGGGACAGTGCCCAGGCCCTGAGTTCAAGCCCCAGGACTGACTGAATTAATTAATGCATGCAGGCTCTGGCAGCTTTGGCTCTAAGGGGATGCTGCTCTCTCAGAATGCAAATTCTCAGGACAGCCTGGGCCTGGTCTAGCTCTTTGTCAGAAGGTGCCGGGGGCGTCAAGTCAGTGTAAAGAGCCTGGGCACCTTGCTCTTCCCTCAGTCTTGTGCCAAGTGGCCTCGTCTACAGAGGAGGTGGGGCCTATGTGCGGCCAATCAGCTGACCATCCCGCTCCAGACTCCAGCTTAGAACTCTTAGTTTATGTTCTTACTCTGAAACTCCCATCTCCCCTAAAACTACCAACGACACTAGGAATGGAGCTGTGTCTCAACTGGTAGAGCTGAGGGACAGTGTCCAGGGCCTAAGCTCAAGTCTCAGGATCAGCACCAAAAAGGAATGGGGCAGGAAGGAATGAGTATATAAAGTATGTATGATCTTACTACAGTAATGTTTAACTGCATCGTCAGCAGAGATTGGTATATCAAAAGTAACTTAAAGCACACTGTTACAAGTTACTTTTGATATACCAATCAGGCATATACTGTTCTGGTGAAATCATAAATACAACATAAAAAGTTCTCCTCCACTACTGAAGAACTTCAGGCAACAAATACTTTAGACTTTCACTGAATCCCTTCCTCCTCCTTTCCTTCCATCCTTCTAGCAATAAGCCGCACTGACGGGTGGTCACGTTCCGGAACCTTCAGAGGCCCGAGGTACCGCCGCAGGGGAAGCAGACCTCACTCAGGAGCAGGAAGGACAGCGCCACGGGCGTGGACAACAGAGCCCGGCTGGCCGGCCTCCGCACAGAGCATGCGGAAGCGGAGCCAGAGACCCGGGGCCCGCCGCAGAAGTGAGGCTGATTCTTACTGGCATGTAGGGGTCTGCCAGAACGGAGAGGAAGTACTTGTGACCGTTGTCCTTCACGAGGTCAGCTTGGCATGACTGCAGGGGGACAGGAGAGAGGCCGTGAGCGGGAGGGGGGAGGGGGACCACAGGGGGGGGGCTGGGAGGCTCCAGCATCTCCCCTCACAACTTAGGGCCAGGACCCTACACCCTCTCAGAAGCGGCGCTCTGAAACCCCACCCTGGGCCCAGCCGGCTGGCCAGGGCCGTGCTGCCCTTGCCTTCTGCCCGCCTCCCCCACCAGGACAGACCCATGGTCTGCACTGCTCTGATTGCTGCCGCTGCTTGAAGAAAGAAAACACCAGTGCAGATACATGTTTATGAGTCTTCTAGGTCCTGCGGGCACAGTGTAACTGTGCTTCCAGAAGGCTGGTCCCTGACCATACCTGCTCTAGGAGGAAGAAGGTGGGTAGAGTCCTGAAGCAGGATGGAGTGGGGCTGAAGTCCTATAGGCACGGGTGGTGCCAAACACTCCCAGGAGCAGCACCAAGGGCAAGACTGAGGCCTCGGGGTGGAGGGCAAAGGAGCTTTCCAGGCTTTTCCAGAGGCCCCAGCCTGGCTCTGAGGCTGGTGCCATGCGGGAGCTGCACCTGCACCAGGCTGGCTGGCTGGGGACCATGTCTGCAAGAGCCTCTTGGGAGCAATACGGCCAGGCCTTGTACACTCACAGGCCGAGGGCAAGGGGTCGGGGGCCTGAGGTCTACAGAGCTGAGAGGAACGGCAGCATGGCTAAAAACAAAACGCAGGTTCAAGCCCTGGATCTTCCCCACGCCAGCACAGGCCCCAGCGGAGGTTTAGAAAGGTATGGAGATTAGAGAACGGGGGAAGAGGGTCGCAGGAACAGCTGCGTGACACGCTAGGCCGCTCCCACTGCCCGAGAGCACACCCCCATCACCCTCCACATGACATTCTGCATAACACAGCAGGAGTGACACGTGCTTTTCACCAGCTCCCAGAAAGCTCTGCTCTAGGGGACAAGCTAGTAAAATGAGGACCGATCGCTGGGTGGCAATGCTCATGCCTATCTATACTCCTGGCCAATCAGGAGGCTGAGATCTAAAAAAATCACAGTTTAAAACCTTATCCCTACTCAGCAAAAAGCCAGAACTGGAGGTGTGGTTCCGGTGGTAAAGTGTCACTTGTCATCAAGAACGCTGAGTGAGAGGCTGAGGCCCTGAGTTCAAATCCCAGTATGAGTGAGCACCAAGAAAAAAAGAAAAGACAAAGATTGAGACTTGACCAATGGAATTAAACTCAGAATGACTTAAGTTGCATTCTGCTATCACATCCTCTTGGCTCTCCAGAGAAGAAAGCCAGCCCTTCAGGGCAGCGGGAGAAGCCCACCCTGCCCTGCTCAGGGGAGCTCTGGTGGAGAGCAGGTCTCTCCTCACATGTAAGAATGGATGAGGCGCATGTGTCTCCGGCCTGGTCTGGGGAAGTGGGAAGTCAGAAAGATGGAGGTGGTCTGGCTCTCGTCAGCCAGTACAAGCTCCTGGCCTGTGCTGAAGCAACGAAGCCACACCCACTGAGGAAGTTCCTTGCTTCAGATGAGGCAAAAGGCACGGCCTGGTTGGTCCCCAGGTCGGGGAGAGAGCTCAGGCTCCTTCTGCAGTGGCGGCAGCAGCGTTCTGAGAAAGGCACCTCTGTTTTCAAACCAGAAGTTCCACAAGTCAAATCAAAGCCCACGCTTCTGAGGAAGCGCCGTCAACACGTCTCATCAAAGAGTAATAAAGTGACATTAATTCATATCCTACTAATGTGGATCCGAGCTCCTAAGTCAGAGGCTCTGGAAGGATGACTTTAATATGCCGTCAGAGCATCTGGTGATTATGAGGTGTATATTAAGAGATCTGTTTTGATAAGGCTGTCACGCCTGGCAGAGCCAGCAAGAATAGCCCTTTCTCCTTTCCTGCCCTCCTAGTCCATCTCTGCAGACGAAGGAGGCTTGGGTGCCGCACGCTCCCACTGCCGGAATGCGCCAAGGACGAGGTGTTCCTCCGAAAGTGACTTAAGGCGAGTGCTTCGCTGAAGCATGGGCCTGGGGGGCAGAGGCCTGGGGCTCTGAGGCCAGGCCGGGCGGCCTCCCCGGGCTCTTCTTGCTGCTGTCTGCGGCACAAGGAAGCGGAGCGGGGGGCGGGGGGGGGGGAGGAGGAGGGGAAGATGGGAGGAGAGAAAAGCAGGGAAATGCAGTTTCTTGTGGCCTCTCCCTTCCCACGCTGAAAGTCACCCCGACATGCCTCTGAGCCAGTGTGTCAGGATTCAGGGAATTCCAAGCAAGAAAAGGAAGGCGGAGGAGGAGGAGAAGCCACGCAAAGACCAGTGTAGGCACCCCAGGGAGGCAGCAAGTGTGGAACCAACACGGGGACGCGGCCGGGGCAGGGCCGGCGCTTCCTGGCTTGTGTGGCAGCTCTGAGAGCCCGAGGCAAGCTTCCCTCCCACGAGCACTGTGGACAGCGTGTGTGAGTCCAGCCTGGGGTTCCGCAGTGGGGCTGCCGGAGGCCAAGACAGAGAGGCAGAGCTGTGGTGCCTGACGGGCGAGGGTCAGCACGGGCGGCTGTGCGCGCCAGTGGACTGCAGGCAGGCGCTGACGTTAGTGGAGAGTCAGGCCCGGGCCTGGGAAGAGCGTGAGAAAAGCAAGCCAGAGCAGGACGGTAAGGATGTTCCAGCAAGAGAAGATGGCTCTACCACAAGGCCTTGATGATGACTGGTTATCATCAGACAAAGTAGTGTGTGTGGGGGAATGTGGGGTGCTCATGTATCCAGATAGCAGCCATGTGCTGGGAAACGACCCGAGCGGGCTGGGAGGCGGGAGCCTGGCTTCACCCCTCCTCTGGCCTGAGCACAACTCGTGTCCGGCAGGGTCAGAGAGGCAAGGAATCAACCAGAGCACCGTGCACGCGCAGCTCCATGGCCAAAAGGGGTTCACCGCGTCCGTCCGCTGCCTCCAAGCCCTGTGGCTAGCCCCGTGCTGGCTGGGTGAGCCCCTGTCTGTGGAAATCCTCAGAACAAAGAGGGCCAGGAGCTGCACCTGGCCTCAATGGCAAGGTACTGTGTGTGTGTGTACACACATGCACAGACACACACATCTCTGGGCACCCCACGTGCCGTAACAGTTGTGGCATCCTCAGGACTCAAAATCGAAATGCTACAGAAAACCATGAATGAAGGCTTCCCTCCGCTCCCCAACTACCTCCTCGGCCACTTTTCTGTGGCCAGGCCAGTTTCTCATCTATTTCTCTCATCTTCCTTCTTCATGGGCATGAGTGTGAGTGTACACACTCAGCTAGCCTGTTCTTAAACAAAAGGACCTGGTGTTTCCTTCTCTAGTAAGAGTTGCAACTGACACGCAGCAGCTATGTGTTTTTACGGGGTGCAGTGTTAGGATTCAATATACATCCCTCCAGGAGGTCGCGCGGTTCCGGGGGACTTCCTCGCTGTGGGCTCGGCTCCCCCCTCTCCCTCTCTCAGGGGCATCAGGTCCTTTCAGTCCAGCCATCTTTTGTAATCACAAATAATACTGCAAACTTCTAAGTTATCTTCTATGTAGTTAGGCATGGCTGGCATGCAAATTTCCAGAAGGCAGATGCCAAAGCAAAGAGAAATTAGTAGTTTTGAAACATATACCATGTGGTGCTTTTAGAGAACAATATTTTGTCAAGAGCTTGAACTTCTGCCACTCTGAAAATGAGTTTTCCAGTGCAGCCTTACTGTACATTTACTATTCATAATAACTTTCCTATGAAAGTCTTCTGGCCGTTTTTCCAAAGGATATTTGATTTCCTTGGTTCCCACAAACTCTTTACATACTATGGAACTTCGGCCACTTCTCTCTGTGACACAGTTTTAAATATTCTCCCCATATAAGATTTGCATATAGCCAAGGTTATTTTTCAAGGACATCTAGGTTTGAGTTACAGTTTATAAGGCTTTCTTTACTCATATAAAGCTTTCTTTACTCAAAGGCTAAATAGAATTTGCCTGGGGTTTCTTGCGGTATTTTTTTTTGAGGGGGGAGGCAGGGGGAGAGTTGATGGGGGCTAGGTAAGTTGCATGCTGGGTAAGCACTCTGCCACTTGAGCCCCATGATTTCAAGCTTCAAGAACCCAGCTCTTGAACCAAGGAAGGGTGGCAGTCAAGAAGCACTGTACTCATACCTGATTCACGCAACTGCAACCCTTCCATGTAACTACTTAATGACAACAATCAACGTTTTAAAAGCACTTGTTAAAAATTAAACAAGAACGCATGTCTTTAGCGTCAGTTCTTCTTTGGGATATACACACAGCCGTCAGTCAGCTTCTCCCTGTGACACATGCCTGAGGTAGTCACCCGAAAAGAAAAGCGGGTGGTGTGGAGTCCTGTTTGGAGGTGTTGCTCCATGGGCAGGTGGCCCCACGCCTTGGGGCCTGTGAGAAGCAGGTGGAAAGCAGACCATTTCCCGCGTTACAGAAGGGAAGCAGAAAGAGGAAGAGGATGAAGGTCCCACTGTGCCTTCTAAGGGCTCCTCACAACGACTTTGGACTGCCCACAGAGCCCTCCTCCAAAGGCTAGTATTAAACTGGGGACCAAGTCTTTAACGTGTGGCCATTGGGGATACTCAGGATTATCACGGTAGTAGCACCCTATTTGTTCTACCGCCACAAATCCAAGGGTCTGACATTACCACCCAGTGACAAGGTGCCGTCACGAAGCGTGGTGGGTTTCTGTGACACCCGGGCTGTGTGTCTGCCTGTGGCTGCAGTCAGCTGACATCTGAGGACCGGCCGCCATGGCTGTCTGGCTACTCGGGATGCTCCTGCCTCTTCTTTAATTCTCCATAGGAGGCTGGAGAGTATGATTATCTAGTACCAGGGGAAAAAAAGGCCTGCTGGTAATTTTATTGGGATTATATTAAGGTTATAAATTAACGGAGGGAACGCTGACATATTTATGACAGTGAACTCTTCCGTGGAAGAACAGGCTATGCTTTTTATTTGCTCAAGTTGATTTTTGCGTCTCTCAGGAATGTTTTAAGGTTTTCCTCTTGGCAGCTTTTCATGT